AGGCTGCTTATCTTCCTCTCCAAGGCTTTGCCAGCTTCCTCGTTGAGCTGCGTAGGCATGAGGTACGGGGCCATCTCCACGACGTGGCTTTCCATCTCGAGATCATACACCGCCTTTGCAGCCTCGAGGCCCAAGAGACCGCCTCCAATCACGGCTGCTCGCTTGGATTTCTTTGCTGCAGCGATGAGTGCTTCAAGATCTTCGATCGTCCTGTACACGAAGACACCTTCAGGGCGAGAAGCTGGGTCATCCGGCCACTGGGGGTTCTTCTTTTCTGGCAAAACGAAGCCGGGAGTTGGTGGAACAAAGCAGAAGCTGCCAGTGCAAAGCACCAGGATGTCGTACTTCAATGAATCTGCATCTTCATCGACAGAGCTTCCACCGTGGCTGACTTTGGAGTACGCAACGGCCTTGTTGTCACGGTCAATACTGGTTGCACGACCATAGACAAGCTTGACATTCTTGCTCTTCAAGTCCTCCTCGCTCCAATACGACAACTTCATCTGGTCATGCTTGTCGCCATCGCAATCCAAGAAGTACTGCGTCAGCATGACGCGATTGTATGCTGGACGAGGCTCCTCGCAAATCACCGTGATTTCGAACCCGGCCTCCCTCTCAGCCAGTTTCTCTATGAAGGAATGACCAATGGGGCCATGTCCAACCACAACGACCTTCTTGCCTGCCATAATCGCAAGCCCTGCGCTCAAAGAGGCGATTACGCTCAGCCTCAGCAACGTTAGCTTTATGTCCACACCTCACCTTGAGCCGTAGCCGGGATTTAGAGATTGTGTGCTCGTTCATCGCAAGCCCGCAGCAAAAAGGTCTGGAGTTTGGGGGTTGTCCCGAATCCGCCTGGCAAGGGCAGCCGCTCACCATACTCGTGGAAGTACTTCGTGGCGTAGGGGCAGCTAAACCTGAGCTTACGGCAATGAAGGGCCCCTGCTCCTCGAGTCCTGGCCCACCCCCCAACTCCATGCTATGCTGCCAGGAGGCATCTCACCAAGAACCACCAGCCTGGGAAACTGCGACGCCAAAACAAAACCCGGGCCCCTGGCCCTCCAGCCGAGCTCGGGACTCGGCGCCCTTCTTCGCCTTCAGCTGCAAGTTCGATGCAACAAACAGATACTATAACTGTATGTGTATCTATCTATCTATCTATCTATCTATCTATCTATGTACAGATAGATAGATAGATAGATAGATAGACAGGTAGATATATAGATAGATAGATAGATAGATAGATAGACAAATAGACAGATAGATAGATAGATAGATAGATAGACAGATAGACAGATAGATACTCTAGGTCTCTATGTATGTGTGTATGTGTATGTGTATATCATATACATAATAATTTAATATTAATATATATATATATATATATCGTGTGTGCGTGTGTGTGTGTGGGGTTGTGTGTGTGTGCGCGTTTTGCGCAGCATTCCCGTATGTGAAAGCCATTGTTGCAGTCACAGTCTCGGCTTCTTCAATGGCTGCTTTCGCATTGGCCAGGCTCTCCTTCTTGTCATGGCCTTGTCTGACCCAACTTCTCATTGGATGCGGCACAGCCCAACCTGGGCATCCTGAGGCTCGCGCTGACGCCAGTCCTCGGCGCACGATGAACACACGAAGCCATCGAAACCGCTGCAGCAAACTGGATGAGAAGCGAACTGGCAGAGACCAATCTTGAATTTCGCGTTCGAGCCTGTTCGGGGGCGACCGGAATGGCCAGAAGCTCCGAATTCAGGCAGCCATCGATGTCTGCGAAACTTCCATCGATCGCACCTACAGCCTGCGAGGAAGGATAGCCACCGGCACCTCAACAGTCTTGACAGGACAAGGTTAGCAGATCGTCTCTGGGCAACTCTGAGGCACGTGCTCGCCATCGCTATCGACCCGATCGATGCAAAGGCACGAAGGGTCCAGAACTTACCGGTCCCGGGCCTGATTCAAGTGTGCTATAAGGGTGTACAAAACGAGCATAGCATATAGCACATAGCATAGCATTTATAGCATAGCATATAGTATAGCACATAGCATAGCATATAGCATAGCATATAGTATAGCACATAGCATAGCATATAGCATAGCATATAGTATAGCATATAGCATGGCATCTGCAAGTCAAGGTTCCCTGAGCCTGGGTTTCACCACGTGAGGTGCGGGCAAACGAACCAAGCGGCTCAGGCCAGGCTGGACCTTGCATGGATCCACTGTCGCTAAGGATCTACTTACACCATGCCCCCGGCTTACTGTAATTAAGGTGCCTGCAACACGTGAGGCCCCCGCGAGAGACCCTAACATCGAGAGGAGCCGAAACGCTGCAGGGGTTTCAAACACTGCACCCAAATTCTCAACAAGCGTTGGCTCCCTTGGCGCAGCCAGGGCAGAGAATCAGCCTGCTGAACGCCGCTGTCATAGCCTGGCGGCTTCTGAACCTGCAGTGCTCGTCCACGCCACCCACATCCACTAGCAGCATCCACTCTCGCGAAAATACGCAAGGAGCCTGAGGATCACTGACGAGGATGATCTTGTTCCTCACATGGCCGCAAACAGCGACTGCACTCCTAGTTCTGCCATGATACCACCTTAGCTCGAGGCATTGTGCGTGCGAAGTCCAAATTAGCTTCTCGCACGAGCTCGTGGCAGAAATTTTCCGGCCTGAACGCTGGTCAAGATTGCGATGATATTATCCATGTGGTCGCAATCTTGGCCGCTCACACATCCTTCAAACTTGATGAATTCTTGGCCAACTCCATAACCTAAGTCGATTTGCGCCCGCGCGAAACTTCCTGTGGAACTCTTCGAATTCTGAGCTACGCACCCTGATGACCTGGGGCCATGTCGTGAAGCCACACGATACTAGAAGATTGCTGAAACCATCTCTGCCACTAGAATCTGTCAGCAGAACTCACTGTCTAAACTGTTTCAGAACCCTAGCACACTTGCGAACTACCCAGGTTCACTGGCGAGCCATCGGAGTTGAGCATGCAGTGCAGATATGTCCAGATGCCTGATCGTCGTCAAGGGTCTGGATGTCGTCAACTGGCATGTTGTCTACCTCGCATCTTCTTTCGGAGATCACTGAACCACCAGAGAGCGGCAGACCTGCGCCCCCCTCATTGAATCCTGCAGAGACCATGCAAAGGCTGATCCCAGATAAGGACCAGACGAAAAAGTTTAGCCGTATTCTCGCTTGGGCCTGAAGCGAACGCCGGCTGGGAGCAGATTCATACCCCCATCTCAAAACGGAACAGCGGATGCCTTCTGAAGAGCTTGAAAGGCATAGAGGATGCGGTCGGCAAACACCTGAAAGGACGCCGATGACAACGAATCCCGGCTGGTACAACGTAATCGTGATATAGACAGTGTGAAATAAGTAGAACATGTTGAACATACCGTGCTGTTTCGGGGGCCTAAAAAGGGACCAAAATTTAGAGAACTACCCATGTTGCGTTTCGACTCACACACACGCACAGGGCATGCACGGATTCCAGACAAACCCCTAAGAGCGAAGATATTGGGCTTAGCGTTTAAGGTCGCGCACTCGCTCGCCGCAGGCACGGATATTGACAGAAAGTCTCAGATCAGGGAGTGTAAGGCTGCCCGTTCAGAATATAGGGGCATTGATAAGTAGGATAGGGGCTTGGGGTGTATGTTATTACAGCTTTGATAAGGAAGCCCCCAAGAAATTTGCGCTTTTTGGGGCCCGGACCTCCGGGTCCTCACCTTGGATCACTATTCTCAGTCGGCCAACCGACTCCAAATCCTCGATCCGAGCGCTGGGGAGGACAGTAGGGTCTGAGTAATTCGAGTGGATGATGAAACGGGGGTAGTTCTCTAAGTTAGGATCCCAACATAGAACCACTGCCGATGATAGAAATCCTGCATTACCTTAAGGACCCTAACCTATGGGAATTATGGCATACTCCTTATTGTGGGTAATGTGGGATGTATATCATCCACCGTATCCATATGGGGCTGCAAGGTCCTTCTCGGGGCTGGAAGCCCAGCGCACCAAGAACTCTTTGGTGCCTTTTCCATCTTTCAGGTCCTCCAAAGCAAGAGGAGCGCCAACCAATCTGCCAACTATGTATTGTAAGCAGTGTTCGCATAATTAGATATACATACATATAAGATGCGTATATATATATATATAAATACATACACAAACGCACACACACACACACATATATATATATATATTATATATATATATATAATATATATATATATATATATTACATACATTTAATGAGATATCATGATCAAGCACACACAGTGAGCAGCAGCAGTGCAAGCAATCCTTGAGGCCCTCCACTGTACAGTCCTGCCAATGAGTGCTGCGGAGATGCCATATCACATGGCATGAGGTGCAGTATAGCGCGGTCCTCCCAGACAGAGCCCTTTGTCTCATAGATGCGCAAGGCCTTGGCCTCTGTTTGCCCAAGCCCACAGCCAAAGCCAAGGCAGAAAGCAGAAAACATCTTGGTGCCTGCAAGGGAAGGAAGCTTCCATCGGGTTGCTGGCCAAGCCTGGACGACAAAAGCTTCACAGACATGTGGCTCAAAAGCAGGTGTTCCCATGTCAAGGGCATGGCTCCAGCCATTGCTCCGGCATACGGATATCAAACTCTGTGTTGTTGAAGTCGTCCAGCTGCAGCCAAAACCTGAAGCAAGGTGGCAGAGTCATGAGACATATTGCCAGAGTGTCTCGGATCCCCTCCATGCTCAGCAGCACACTCGCGATCCCAGTCAGGAGTAAAGTTGCAGCCTCGCTCCTCTAGTAGAGCAACGACCTGGAACTCATGGAACTTTCAGACAGCCATCCCCAAGCACATCCAGGTTCCTTCCGGTCTCTTCGGCATCTGCCTCTTTCGGCCTATCCTAAGACCGGAATACCCGAAACCCCCAATCCCTACTGACCCTCATAATCCCAAACCTGGGCTCTTGCTAAAGGAGCTCTGCTTTCCTGACTTCTGCAAGTGAAGGTTTTAGGGTCCCTGACCCCCCAACCCCTAAACCCTAAACCCCTAGACCCCTAAACCCTAACCCCAAACCCCTGAACCCTAAAACCCCTAAACCCCAACCCTAAAACCCCTGACCCCCTAGACCCTGAAACCCCTAAGTCCCAAAAAGGCCGGCTGCTGAGCTGTAAGGCTCCGGCATCCAGAGCTTCGAACCACTTCCTCCGGCGCTCCACGGTGACTTTCCGGGGTCGGTCACCCGGCCGATGGGCGTAGACTTCGATCACCTCTTCGGGATTTGGGGATTTTGTTGGTAGCTTGGCACACTTCTCGGCTCTTGGTGCGTGTCATCCTTGCGAAGGGGGCCACGCTAGTCTTCAACTTCTCCATATGGCTTCGGGCGGGCTTCGAGTTTCGGTTTTCGGGCCCGGCAGTAGGGCCTTGGGCTCCACATCCTGCGTCGTTCTTCGAGGCGTCTTGGGGGTTGCCTGACAAGCCAGGAACTGGCGCGGCAGTGCAGCCAGAGGCTCTTCGCAGTGCGTCGGCCTCCTGTGCCTTTGCCCGCAACCTCTCGGAAAGGCTAAAGCTCGTGGCACTTGCGGACCTCAGAGGTAACTCGAAAACGTGGATAGAACGTGACCAGGGCTCTCCCCATAGGTCTCAGAGACTGTTCTGCTTCAGGGCCGCACTTTCGCAAGGTGCTGGAGCAGGTGCCCAAGTCTTCCGGTCCTAGCTTGCAGGAGTCCACCTCCTGGCGCCTCGCAGGATTCCACAGCGCCTTTCTGTTTGAGTTTGTGAAGTCTCCAAAAAACTGGTGGCCTGTGCGGCTTCACGACCTCGGACAGGATACCTCGCTGCCTCAAAGCACGGGGAAGTTGGGGCCAGGAAGCCGCAGAGCTCCCTTTTTTTGTCCCCTGGCCTGAAGCCGGAGGCAGTGTAGAATCCTTGGGCGGAGCTGCCCATGGTCTGCCGGCCGCCTTGCAGCGTCTTTGGGTCGACAAGAGGGCCCAAGCATTGGGACTTGGGTTTTTCAAAGTCTTCGACGCAGATCCGCAAGAACGAGCTCACAGCCTTTTTCCCCACGATTTGCAGTGTGCCAGCGTGGCTTCTTGGCAAGAGACTACAGGTGCAAGCCTCTGTGCAATCTAAGTGCAGGACTCCAAGCCCGTGCGCCACTACTGAATTCTGGAACCCCACACGATCAACGACATGCGGGCACTTTCAGCTGAATCGAGAGAGGATGGGGAATTGGGCAGAATGTGTGGCACGCCATGCATGAACACTTCATTCAGTTCCGGCGTGAAGGCAAAGACATCCCCGTTGCCCTGAGGGAAGGACATGGTCACACCTGACCTCACGTGCATCAGCGTCAGCTCACGAACTGCCCCAAAGGATGCGCCCACCGTGAGCTGGGGAACCCCTTCAGAGTCCCGGCCCCGGTCATAGTGCAAGGGCTTGTAGTCTTGTTGCGACCGATACAAGTTCAGTCGAACAGCCGAAGCTTTGATACCGAAGGCCTTCTCCATTCGGCGGACAAGCTGTGCTCGCAGGCTACGATCGAAGGAAGGAATCCCGGATTCAAACTGCAAGCCTAAGTGTCGAGCTCCATGCCACTCGGACATGGCTTTCTCTTCAGCTTCCAACTCAGTCTGAAGTCGTTCCATGACACCTCTGTCCTCATGGGGGCATAGAAATGCCGGCAGGAAGAAGGCATCCTCCCCATGTAAAATTGGAACTCCTGAGGATGACAGCCTCGGTGGACTAGTGGAGACACGTATAGACGGCTTCCACCATCCACAACGCTCCCATGCGCACCAACATTCCTGGCAGAAAAGTTGGCCACGCTCTGAGAACACGCGATCGGTCACGACTTCCTGGCCCCCGCATGAGTGGCAAGTCATGCTTGAAATTCCGAGGACTGCGGAAGGACGCCAAGTATCTTGCTCAGGATCCATGGCCGGTGGAGCATCTTCCTCCTTGTATTCTAATCGCATCAGGTCCGGGTCCGGGGTCACACCCGCCTGACAAAGCCTCGAAGCACGCATCAGCCAGATGCCGGGGAAGCACTGCAGCTGGTCGCGCAACATAATGCGAGTTGGTGGTCGCTGGTGCCTCTTGCCCAGGAACTTAGTTTTGATCTCTCGCACTGGGGTAACATGTGTCCTGCATGCTTCCTTTTTGCTGATTGCTTTAGGTGCTCGCTGCCTTGCTGCCAGGGCGTCGTGCAACTACCAAGAAATTTCAACTGGTCCGCTAGTCTGTGACTCGGACAGCATCCTGCCCTCTACTTGTAGCTACTACTTGACAAGGAAGCGCGGCCAATCACCACTTCCCAGGCAACAGACCAAGCCGCACATGAACAGGCACATCTGGCAGGATCTTCAGGGGCCTGTCAAAGAAGGTAGGGATCCCGAGTGGCCCATCTGCCTGGCCAAGGTAGAGAAGGCAGAAGATGCCAGAACCCAATGACTCCAGGCTACCGCTTCTCCAAACTCGGGCGGGCTGACTTCTTCGACACCAGGGTCCTTTTCCCGCCGATGCTTTTGAACTCGGCCACCTGTCACGGAGTCAGAGGCCACGAGCCTGCCAGGAAAGAAAGCCAATACCAGGCCTTGCTGGCATCCTCCATGGCAGCTTCGCCCTTCGCGCACCGCAAAAGGCCTCGGAGATCGGGGGCATCGACAGAACGCCGAAGGATCCAAGGCGAGGCCGAGGCTGCCACGCTTCGCACGTGCTGTCCTCTCCCCCTCGAGGTCCAAAGCAGGGGAGGGAGCTTCGGGGCCTGTGAGCCCTGCGTAGGGCCACACGAAGGTTCATGCGACTCACTTCAGGTCGGCAGGGAACAGGCATGTTGCAGATAATGCATGCCACTAAGCCACGCGGCACAAGCGTCTTTTTGGCTCTCTGCGCTTTCTGCCTCCTGCGGTGTGAAACCGGGTGAGGCTTGGCGGAGGGCAGCGGCATGCCTTGGCTGTGCGTGTCCGAAGCCTACCTGTAACCGAAAAGACCTACCGTTTTAAGGAACTATATATAGAAACCATAATAAGGAACCCTAAAAAGGTAGGTCTTTTCGGTTACAGGTAAGCCCTAAGAGCTGCTTTTTCGCTAGGCGGCGGAGGATCCGCAAGCCGGATCCCTTCTTCGCCTTCGGCACCGCCAGGAAGGCCTCGGTCTCAGCACTAGAAAGGACTCCCCGTTCAAACGGAACCAGAAGACAAGGCAGATGAAATATTGTGGTTTGGGTAATATGATTCGAATATATACTGTTAGCGAGAATACGTGCCGTCACATAAGCCAGAATGCGTACTATTTATAACAGCTGCTGTCATATACACGATGTATGAAAATCTATATATACTCTATTGTCTACTACAATATACACACATATAGAGAGAGAGAGAGAGATTGTGTTAATGTTCTGAATTTGTACAATAAGATGCATTGAAAGATACACGTTGTATTCGAATTTATACTACCATAATTCGAACCTATACCCCAATAAGCGCTACAAAATATTATATATTCCTACGAGACTGTTCTATTAGAAAAGCTGCGAGGCTGGCTTTGGTGTTGTCTTTGCTCGCAATTTGGATCTCCTCCCTTCTCGGAGCCGATGTCGTGAGGCGCCTTGGGGTTTCGCGTTTCAGGTGGGTGAAACAGAGTTTTGGCCACTTGAGGGCCTCAATGCCTTAAAAGGTTTTAATTCTTTAGGTTGGTCGGAGTGTTGGCAGTGCGTGCCTCTTGCGCTTCCTGCGGCTCTGCTCGGGCTGAGGATCGGCGTCGCCAGGGCCATGTACGAGATTCTCGAGTCGGTCCAGTCGGCACAGGAAGAACCCTCGACACTTGTGGGTGACAGGATCCGACCTTAAGCAATTTTTGGCCCAGCTCGGCAAGGGCTTTCCTGTCGCAGGCTTGAGAGGCGCATTTTGCCACCAGGGCAGTGCCTCCACCACCTCAAACCCGGGGTAGCGGCACAACACCTCCTCCACGACGTCCTCATTCTCCAAGCGAAGCGTGGAGCAGGTAGAGTAAACCACTGTCCTTGTCTGAAGGAAACATCACTCATGCCTCCGTCGCCCTCGCCACTGACCCAAGGCCCCCTGGCCCGAAGGCCTACCCAACAGCAGTCTTTCTTTCTTTCGCCAGAACTACGGTGTAGGGGTAATCCGCCCACACCATAGCCCTACATCTCTTGCTTGCTTGGGGTTGGGGGCAACCCCTCCACGGTCCGAGATCGAAGGTCGGAGCAACCCCTTCCAGGGTTGAGCACACTCGTGTTCCCGGACCATCCCCCGACAACACCCCTCCCACACCGATGCCGACAACGGTTCAGCTCTCATGACTGCACTTCCATACGGTGCTCAAGAAACTTGCAGGGCTTAGTGTTGCAGCTCAACCACGTTCGGAACACAACAGACCAGATAACATCCTAGAGTCCTCGAATTCTCTCCATTCTACCGAACGAGCTCCACTCTTTCGGCTTGGTAGAAACACTGTGCTATACCCCCACTTGACCCGCCTCCCCACCTTATCCCGAACAGAAACCTTGCGCGACACTGCCTTCACCTTCCCACCCCGTCCCTGACTTGATCTTATTCCCCAGGGCATAAGGACTGTCAAGGTCCCCCGGCCGCTAAGCCCCCCATCTGTTACCCGGCTTTGAGGGGACAGTGAAAAGCAGGCGGCTATCAGTTAAACAAGACGTTGTTGTATTTTAGTTTGGAAACGAGCTTGCTCAGGTTGAACTTCGGGGCAAAGCCAAAGCACAGTCGGTCGAATTTAGCTTCCCCTGCGAGAAAAGCAACTAGTAGCATTCGGCGAGGTAGATCGACGCTGGCTCGGTTCCCATCAAGGCTCTGACTGCGTTTCGCAGACAGGTTACAAGTCACATCACAAATCTTCACATGTGGATAAGCAAGTCTTCCGGGGTTCCATTTCCCAAGAAGTTTATCGGGCTTGGAGAAACATCGGATCATAGGGGTAGCCGGAGCTACCGTTGAAAAGCTCAGGCAGCGCGGGGTGGCAGGCTCCCCGGACTAAGGAGCGAGAAAACTTCTGGGTTTGGAGGTAAGGAGGAAGCTTTCAGCAGAACCTGGAGATCCGAAGACGAGGAAGAACCAACGGACGTTCTGGAGTTCTGGCACAAACGGGGGAATGCCCTCCTAACGTCACCAAGTATGTTTTGGGATGACGACGACCTGACCTCGGAAGCGACTTTCTGGTGGGGGAGGTTTGCTCCCTTCCCCTGAATTCAGCGCAATGGGTTGGAAGCAGGGGCTAGGGGGAAGATGAAGCGCCCAGCTCAGTACTCCCACACATTGGGGGACAAGCCACAGTCACGCCAGGATCGCGAGCCCAACAATGTCTTCTGACCCGAGGGTTTTCGGGGGACGCTGCAAAGAGGCCTGGAAGATAGCAAGCAAACTGCGGTACCGTGAGCAGGGAAAGAAACGACGAAGGGCAAAGGCCACTCCCACCAGTGCACCCTCGAGTGATGGGGGAGACGCTGACAGCGCAGTGTGCACGGGTCGGGTCCTCTCCCGCTCTGTCACTTACATTCCCAGCTTCATGGTATTCTGTCGATGTCACCATCTGAACCCGAGCATTCCCTCGTGTTCGGTTCACCCCTGGGTCAAGCCTGATCTGACGCTCCCGCGCAAGCCCTGGAAGCTCCACCCAAAGCATCCATGAAATCACGCTTCGTAGTCCCTTGTCCCGCGGCATGTTGTCAAACGAGTGTTACTTTAGTGGTAGATTTCTACACGCACAGACAAAAGAATCGACACATCGAAACTCCGCCGAGGCTCCTCGCTTTGGGAAAGCTGAGCGCATGCGACAGGATGCGCTTCTGGAAAGCAGCCAGACGCTGCACCCTCCGAGATGTCCCAGTTTCGGCAGTCGCATCGATCAAGTGGTGCTCCGGCAGGCCCGATCCGGAACAGCTCGGATCAACAATGAGCACATCGACCTGATTCCATGGGGGAAGCGCTGGATTTGTGTCGAGGAAATCGCCGACATGCACATCTACCTCGACTCCCTCCGCCCCAGTGGCACCGGCCCAGCAACGCCCTCGTATCTGCGACCCCCATTTCAAGACCGAGGCCTTGCTCTTTGCTTCCGGTCCATGTCTTCCCTTACGCTTTTTTGGACTCTTCTCTGCAAAGCCAACTAAGAGCCGCAAGCGCTTCAGGAGGGCTGCCGCACGTTTGGGATCCCTCTCGAAGGCAGCCAAGCGCCCCTGCGCGTGAAGCAGCTCGATGGCATGAGCCGTTTTGCTACCAGGGGCTGCACAGGAGTCCAGGACGAAGCTGCCAGGGACCAAGCCTGCCGCCAGGGCCGAGAGGCAGCTGCTCCGATCTTGCAAAACCAGTGCTCCGCTCTCCACTTCCGGAAGCTCCCGGAGCCATCTCCGCGAGTCCGCCGGCAGCCGTAGGACGTTGGGCACCACAGCGTCCACCTCCACGCGCGTCGCCTCACTGTGCTTCGGCTCGGATCCGGCGGCCCTCCTCAGCGCCTTCGTCAGACGTTTTTTCAGGATCTCGAGGTCCTCCGCCAGCTGCAGCCGGTTCACACGGACGTAGCGCGGCAAGGAGGAGAAAGCCTCTCTCTGTTCCGAAAGGACCTCACTATGCTGGCTCGACTTCTTGAAAGCCGTCCACAGCTCCGCTGCGTGGCCCTCCAATTCTCGTCGCAGCTTTCCTCCTCCTCGCAGCCCATGCCCCAGAAGTAGCTCGTAGGCCATAACCAGCATCATGCCATGAGAATGGTGATCCAGGCCAACAAACTCGAGGGCTTCAGCTATAGCCGCCTTGTTTGACAACGTACACGAGGAGAGCTTGCAGACTGCCCGTGGGTCCGAAGAAAGCTGCTGGGCGTAGAGGGCTGCCTTCGGAAACACTTCGAAAGAGCTCCCCACAGCATGCTGGAACTCAAGAGCTGAGAATCAAACTTCTTCTCTTACCGTCGATCGCACCCATTGATTGAGGGAAACAGAAGCGAGAAGCTGCACTCAGGGCATCATAAACTTAAGAAGGCTCTGATACCTTCGCATGCCCAAAAGGAACACCACATTTCTAAACCCTTAGTAAACACGGGTAGTTCTCAAAATTAGGGTCCCTGATGGTGATCCAGACCGCTAGGACACATCAGCCTTCAGGCCGGATCGGCCGGACAGCACATCGTCCACAACCCGACCGGCTTCCAAGTAGATTTTGGCCATGGCATACAAAGGTCCTACATGACCCTATGACCCTATGACACTCTTTGAGTGATCAAGATTGACCACTTGGAGGCACTGCAGGCTTGACATGGTTGCACCAAACACAAACGTGGTGCCGATCCGCAATCCTTGGCATCCCATACTTTGCCGTTGCTGCAGGGCTCGTCACTCGAGCCACCGGGGGAGCTACAAACAGACGCGTTCCGATCAGAGCCAGCGGAAGCCCCGGCCCCGCGGCATTGGTTGATGCGCCAGGTCGGCACTTTTTCGGAAGAGGCCCCCCAAGTCGAAAGACTTCCAGTGAGGATTGCCTCCCGCCCCCCGGGCGCGATGGTCCTTCTCTTAGCCTGGCGATGGTGCAGGCTAAAGACATGCACCGAATTAGGCTGCGCAGCTGTGGGCGACTGGCGTCGAACTCTCTTTGAGAGTGAAGAAAGCATCACCCTAAAATGCCGGCAGAAAAGACCCTGCACTTGAGTAAACGAATTTGGGACTCCTGAACTTGAGGCTTGGAGACCCCTCTTGCATTGAATGGAAGAGGTTGCCCTCCCCTTCTGAACGGGCCTGAGATTTCTCACCTTGTCGCTCTCAAATTGGTCGGTTGAATCGGAAACTGCAATTGCGACTGCAGGCTCTCACGCTGGGAGGGTCGACTGCCACTGCCCCTCCGTCGAGTTCGCATATCCTCCAAAATCTCCAGGACGTCTCTCCTCAGCTACCAGTCTTGATGCGTCCACAGATGTTGGATTAAACACGGCAGGGTGCGTCTTGTTCAGGATATCTTTGACGTCCATCTGCATGACCTGTCGGCCACAAAAGCTTAGGATCCTATTTCCGCCTTTTCAGCCTCCAAATTTCAGCCTCCCTCAAAAATATGCGGGCACCTGCGTATGGAGCGTGGTCGCCTCGCCAGACAATCGGTAGCAGCCGGAAACAAACTCGTCAATGTTGACGCCATCCGAGCCATCGCCTGAGAGATGAAGAGATACTGAGAGAGCCAGGGGTCACTGAGAGCCCGGTCTCTCTCCTCTCCGATATACATACCTATATACCTATTTTGCAAGGCATCTCCAATACATAGTCAATACATCCAATACATGTCTCTCTCTATCTTCCAGCCTCAGGACCAAGTCTCGCCTTTTTACTTTGTTGCGCGCCAGATTCGAGATGTCGAGGGGCTGTCCAGAAGGCGGAAGAGGGTCTTGGCATCGCTTACGTCCAGCTTCAACGTGTTGAAGTAGGCGATGACAGCCTCGTGGTTCCTGAAGGAATCGGAGCTAGTTTTTAGGGGGTCGCAATGATATAGGGTTTTAAGGGCTTGTTCTTGGGCTCCGGGATTGGCTCTTTCTTGAGCCACAGCACGAACACAAGACAGATGCCCGAGCTGGCTGCTGCCGGATTACAGCTGGCTTTCGAACTCCTGCTGTGTAACGGTGCCATCACCACTGGAATCGAGCTCGCTGAAAACATCCCTGATCCAATTCATGCCTGAGCTTGGAACGGGCAGACATATAACAATGCTAAAAATCAGAAGAAGACGAGGAAAAATAATAATAGTAATAATAATAATAATGGCGATAACAAGAAGAACGATAACAACAATGCCTCCGCAAGTTGGCTTGCAGCTGGGCGGCGCAGCCTCTTGTTCCGCAGCTCCTCCTGAACCGCCAGCTCCTTGTCCGACTGGTTCTTCTCGATCGCCGTGTCGACGAAAACGCCTGCAAAGTAAGCGCAGGGACTCGTTTAGACTTCGTGCAAGAGCCCAAAACAGCACGAAACGCCCCTGCCTGTCACGACATTGAGAACTGCGAACAGAGCAAAAGTCACGAAGAAAAGGAATAGACACCTCGACCGCAGGGCGTGTTCATGTGCATTGAAGGCCAGTGACTGGATTGTAGAAGCTAGCACTTGCTTTGGCTGCAATCGGGCGCCGAATCTGGACTCCGAGATGGACGCAGGTACAGATCATGTTCAGGGGCATCCTCGCAGTGTCCCTTGAATAAAAAGTCCTAGGGGCTGGTATGGCCAGGGCAGCATTTCCAGGACGTGGAAGTACCTTGTCGAGAAGAATGCTCTCAGAGTCACAAGGCGAAGTTGGGACACAACTGCAGCGCAGAACATAGATTCGACATGTATGAAGAAACACTGATCAATGAGCAGAATGTTGATCCGCTTGAAGTGTCCCTGTATCATTGAGCCCACCCATTTGGCCATGTGACACTGTCCAGTCTTCTCCTCCGGACATGGAGCTGTAGAGTGTCAAAATGGAGCTGGACAGCGACCCAAAGTACCTCGACAATGGCACTTCATGAGCCATACACTTCACGAAAGCACCATGAATCTATCTTCCACTCCTAGTACACAGGGGGAACTTCTTGAGGTCTTCAGCGCCGGCTGCATCCCTCGGCAACGATTCGAGCTCCATCGTCACCTTTGCACGTCTGGCATGGCCAATTCGACTGGCGCCCTTTTTTTGAACCCAGACTCTGCTGATCAGCTGGGCAATGCAGGGAAACAGCACTGCGCGATTTCACACAATCCTGAATCAGACGAAGTCACAAAAACAGTCACCATTTCAAGTCTCCTGACACCTGTGTGCAGGTATAATTGCACGACGAGAAAGTGGCTGGTCTCCCTGAAACACAAACCTGGAATAGTGTAGGATCTAAAGTCTAAAGGAGTGCCCTCCTGTACCTGACACGGACTGCAAGCAGGCCACTGCGCTGGTGAAGGTGATTCCAAAAACCTGTTGCGGCAGAGGGCAATTATTTACAGCTTCAGGAGCCAGTGTCCAACGTAATTGCAGGCTGGCGGCGTAAAGCATGACACAGAGCACCAGGACGACCCAAAGCAAGTTTCTGGCCTCAAGAGTCCAGTTCTTCTCCGCTCTGAGCCGACTGGCAGGAGATAGAAGGCTTCTTATTGCTGACGGGCATCCGAGCTGACAATCGAAGCCACCATCAGACGGAGTTCTCGAAAAGCCTGCATGTAAGTTCTGTCGCCCTTGGAACTCTTGCTTTCTTCCTCCAGCCTTCAGGACTCGGATTACCTAAGCTCACTTGCAAGGCCGCGCGGCGAAATGCTGAAAACTGAAAGTTGACGTGAAGCTGCCCTGGCTATGCGGACCACACGCAGCACGCGGATCATCCTCACCACCTGGGCTGGCAAGATTGCATGATGGTGCCGGGCTCATCCTCTCGCTGAAACGATGCGAAGGCTAAGACAGGGGCCGAAAAGTTCGTCATCAAGGCTCCAGTCTCAGATCCTGCAAGAACCAGCGTCTCGGTGACCACCTCCATGCAGCCGATAGCCACGACGAATATGTCCAGCAGGTTCCACGACATTTCCTCGACAGGGCGACGATTCTCAGGACATCTGTGTAGCACCCAAGGCTGCCAGCAGCGCACGGCAGCAATGCCACAGAGGTGCTTCGCTGCAAATGAAGAACAGGAACCCATCTGCAAGCCAGCGCATGACCAGGTCCAGAAAGAACGCCACAAAGAACATGATCTGTGCTACCTCACAACGAAACTGGACAATCTGGGGCAAGCACAGCCCACACAGGCTAGTTTGCGATCCCCAGCACCTACCCTCCACAGAAGATGCCGCCAAGTTGCATAAAAGAACGTGCGCTCAAATCCCTGATCATCTGTGTTGACGGTCTGGGCCAGGTGTTCCTCGGCTGGCAGAGGGAAGCACCCAAAAGAATCATCTAGCATCCGAAAGAGGGCAACGCATGATGCACAAAAAATGTAAGTTCGCCGAGACTCTGTCTGCCAACCAACGAACATAGCGTTCACTAAAATCAGCACAGCACCTCGGTCACGAGGATCTGGATTGAAGTCCAAACCAAAGGCTATGCACAAGCGCACACGAAAATGCATCACAGCAGGGCTTCAACTCGATGCTCCAATGTAGGGGACTAAGTGGCTCGGCTAGCAGTACTCTGAGACTTTCCGAATATATATATATATATATATTTATTTATTTATTTATTTATTTACGGTTCGTCGAGCGCCTCTGCTTCTTTGAAACCTAGGCCCAGACTCCAATGAAGGGCCTGGAAACCAGGAGCTATCATCCCAGCCACAGGTTCTCAGTAGGGAATCATGGATCCCTATGATAGTCCTTTAAGGTCCCCGACAGTAGTCCCAATGACCCTTTCCCCCATTCCCTGCTGAAAGCCAGTCAGTCTACCCGTCTGTCTATCTAGCTATCCATCTGTCTGTCTCTGTGTACACACAGATGACAAATAAAACCCAGAAGTAGACCTAGATAAGCAGACAATAGGTGCGTGTATGTGTGAACACACATATTCATAGGTATGCATCTGTGAGATATATATATATATATATCTGTGTGTATATATATATGTATATACATATATGTTCATAGACATCCCGGGCGAGCTTATTGCTCAAGCCAGGCGGCTGTACATCTCATAGCCGGTGCTGTAAACGCAGTTCTGCAACCACGACTGGTGAACTTCTTCATCATCTGTAGTCCTCACACCATGAAGGACTTGACAGTCGACGCAAGACGTTAGTACCACCTGCTTGCAGACGACAGTACATCCGTGTATCCCTCAATAACTGTAGGAATAATAGTAGTAATAGTAATCATAATAACAATAATGGTAATATAACACTGGACCAATGTCTCAGCCAGCGGGCTTGATGATCTTCCTGCGGGTTGGAGCTCTGGCTTTCTTCCTGCAGACATATGGGAGTTTCCGAAAATAGGGGACCCTAATATAGTTCCCTAAATAGTAGGATCCTTATTACAAGGACCCCAAAATAAGGTACTCCAGAAGCTGCACCAAGGAGGAGGTGGCGTCGGAGGTGACATCTCTTCAAACATAGGCATACAGCATGGCTTCGGGAAAACCCACACCTTCTTGGAAAAGCGAAACTATCCAGCACAAGCACACGTCTGCCTGAAGTCCGTTTTTGAAGACGACCTCTGCAAATATGTTTGGCATGAACACCGCAAACTTCATGCAAAGGATGCAGATATTGCTGCTCTGAGGTTCAGGCCTGCGGGAAGCTCCGGAAACCTCCGCTCGGCTGTCTCACAAAATCTGACCCATACGTCACGCATCCCCTCGTGTGCCAAAGTGGTACAATGGAAACTGGGTGCCTTTCTCATGAAATCCCAGCGGCTTTGGACGACGCGCTCGAGGACGATGGAGAGGATGGCTCTGACGCAGAGTCTTTGCTTGCTGCTCTCGAGGGCGGCGCTGGTTCTTCCGCGAGAGGCATGACCGGCACGAAGTTGTTCTGTATGGTGGTCTGGGCCTCAGGCTTCGGGACATGTCCTCAAGTGGAGCCTGCTATGCTCGAAGCTTGCAGCGGATGCTCACACTCAGAAACGCTTCGGACGACGGATGCGCTTTCACGAGAGAGACATCTGCCGGGCAGCATCATCGCCACCGGTAACCATGCCTGTCAGCGCAAAACTTCCGGAAGCCTCACAGATTCGTCCGACATCGGGCCTGGGACATCTGGAGTCTCCGTCACCTCAAGGCCGGGCTGTTGGGAGCTCCAGGTGCCTATGGGCCTCGATTCCGCCGGGGAGGGCAGGGAGGCACGCGCGCCTCGCTCTGAAGAGACCCACGCTTCAAGGTCGTCGACGCCTCCTCTGCCTCTCCAGGCCTCGGGAATGGGCTCTCATTTCTAGGACTTTCGCAGGTCCGAGGGGGAGTGTGGACTCGTTTCACTTTAACTACACTCTGTGTGGGGACCGCCAAATGATCGCACCCTAATCGAAACGGCTGCCTACTCGTCAAATGATCAAAACAACGACGGAGACCATCTTCTACAACAGCTAACATCAACAAACTTCCGTCAGTAGAAAGCTGCACGATGCCTCAAGTCCTCGAGAGAGAGAGAGAGAGGATGCCTCAAGTCCTCTCTCTCTCTCTCTAAAGGATCCCTGGTTTTCGATGAGCACCACACTTTCAGACGATGCAGAACACCCTGAACCACCACCCCCCTAGTCTAGTCAAGGCGAGGAGCCGCAGGCTGCGCTGCAGGCGCTCTAAGACCATCTGTAGCTCCAAAGCATGCCTCCTCGGTCTGACTTGCATTTTTGCCTCCACAACGCAGGACATTTTACAGCGGCATAGAGTTTTGGGCCCAGAAGCCACCAATGCCCGAGTACAGTCTCTCTGATGAAAGGTTGCGAAGGCTCTGTGTCAATGAAGAGATCTCGGCAGCGACACCGTCTACGATGGCAAGATCGACCGGCGCCATCCTCCACGCAAGTTGGGCAAGAAAACAGCTGCATGCTGCAACTGGATGCGGACAGGCCAAACTTTCCTTGGCACGAAGATGCGCTGACGCTCGACCGGCGAGATCGCTGCGTCTTCTACAGGCACCCAAAGCGGACTGTTTACGTGCTCGGCGAATCTCTGCTGGACAAACACACTAGAAACGTTTGGATACTGTCGCCTCCTACAGGTCCGTCTTTATCAAGTGGACTCCCGGACAGCCCCTGCTTTGCAGGGAGCTTCCTTGAGCCTCTAAGCTGTTTCAGGGCACTCTGATTTCGCGACGCAGGCAAAGGCCGTTTTCAAGAAGGCCGGTGCTCTCGAGCACTGTTTTGGCTTTCATAGGCTGGCGCTCCGTATCCGTCGAACCCTGTGAACCCTAAGAGCTGTCACTTGCGGCGGCATCTTCCTCCGGCTCTTGGTTCGAGCCTACAGAGAAGTGCAGTGCAACTTAGTGTTCACGCTGTCGCAACTCGGACTCCGCCAGATGAGGATCATTTGGCTCTCGCAGCTCAAACCACGGCAGCTCTCCACAACTTCGACTAAGGAGTGACACAACTGCCACAAACTCAGGAAAAGCAGTCGCCAGGCAACTGTGCAGCTCGTTACTTCTTCGTGCTTTGAAAGGGTCTGCACAAAGCAAGTTTTGCTTGCGTTCTCACCATTTGTCATTTCTTGAGCGAACGTCCCCTCAGGAGGAAGCGTCTGCTTTAAAACATGCACCGTGCAGAAACAGGAGGAACCTGACAAAAGCAACGTCTAGAGGTTCCCACCGTCTTCCCTCACCTACGCATGTCAAAACTTGAGACCCAAGTGAGGTCTCCAAAATCTTGGGATTTCTGGCTTACACACCTCCTTCTCAACCAACGGTGAGGAGTGGGAAAAAGCGTGTTTGCCCAAAAGCACGGGATTAAGCACTTCCTAGTCCTAGGTATTTCGGCACCGCTAGCCTCTCGCAGTGTCAGTGCCGACGTGGTGGGTGCTGCACTCCGGAGTCTCGGAGGCACCGGCAGCATTCTTTGTCCAAAACTCTGCCGCTTGTTTCACATCGGTATACAAGGATAAATAAAGCCTGGATAGATGATGTCCTGGATCCTTCAAAGCAGGCAGTGGCACTGGCAAGGAAGCTGCTCACACATAAATTGCGCAATGCTTCCGCAAATTAAAGTAGTCTACTCGCCAAACCCGTGTGGCTCTTGTAGCCTGTGGCTTAGCATCTGCTGAGTTGCGCGTAGCGGCGCTTCACTCGACCAGAGCACTCAATCTTTGTCCACACGAAGTAGTAGTTGTCATACTTGGCCGGTGGATTCGCGAAGTCGAAGTGGTTCCTCACGCCGAACTTGTTCCCACGGCCCTGTCGGGCCGGGCACCAGGCCTCGTTGCCATGGTGCGGGCAGGTGTCTGCGACCACAATTTTGATCTCCCGCTGGAAGATGCTGGCACCCGGCTGTGCCCAGAGAGGATAGGAAAAGGGGTGGGCCGGAAGAAACTTGCCCTTGGCACAAGACAGGCATCCCATTCCCTGGGTTCCACCACGCGAAGAGGCATCCTTCGTGCAGTAGTGCCCGTCTCCGATACCATGGTCCTGCATGGACTCCGCAGATGCCACGGCATAGAAGCCCGTGCCCTGCACCAGTCGGCCAGTGTCGATGGAGCCGCAGGAGGCACAGCAGGTGTTGCCATATCTCGTCGTGGTGGCCAAATAGTCGTAGCCGGCATGCCGGCGCATGTTCTGCAGCTCCGAGGGACTGGGATCCGTGCTCCAACGCAAGGTTGCATTCTCCCAATACTCCTCCCGTCGTGCCGCGCCTCCGGGGAGGAGATCTTGCGGCGATGGGCCTGAGATGTTCCTCGGGGCTTCTCCCAGCCGTGCCTGCACAGTGGTGGCGAAGGCCAGAGCTACGAAACACATCTTCGCCATTGCGATGTGAGGCAGCCGGGGGAAGTGGCCGAAGCGAGCGATCCTGAAGCACCAAAGGGCTTGAGCCGTAGCAAAGCGTCCAGGCCTGGGATTTGGGAATGAAAGCTGGTCCTAGAATCGACTATAACGTGCACTGATATGTAGTAAAAACTGCCATAATATACCGTACTAGTTTAATATACTACAACAGATCCTAGAGTCCACTACTAGCTACTATACGGTTCAACAAGATGTTGAGATATATCATAAGATACTATAAAAGACTCCAGTTACTGTAACACACTACATATTACGATAAGATACTACACTATCTACAAATAAAATATATGCATATATACATATATATACATATACATATATACATATATGCATATATATATACATATACATACATACATACATACATACATACATACATACATATCTATATATATATAGATATGCATGTGTATATGTATATATATA